GTCACTTCCTGTTTCACTTTGACTGAGCCAAGTTCAAAAGAAAATAGGCCGGTTATGTGACAAAATGTGTAAAATCATGTGCACCATGCCAATTTTCTTAAGTATAAAGATGCTTTCTTTGACTTTTTGTATTTGAAGGATAGGCACGTCACATGAACTTTAAGATTCAACATTTTCATGAATAAACAAACATGTTCAGGTCCAGAGTCAGAACTTTTGTTGGGGTTGAGCCCACTTGGGTCCACCACCTGTGAGGAGGACCCTTGAGGTCCTGGTCCTGGTCCTGGTCTTGGTCCTGGTCACATAAGCCCACTCAAAAATATTATTTTCAAAAATCCCAGTTAAAGATTGTGCAGGTAGTGTTTGGTTCTTCTACAGACTGAAGGACCAGTTTTACATGAGCTGTTTTCATCACTGATGATGATGATGATGATGATGATGATGATGATGATGATGATGATGATGATGATGAAGAAACGTTTAGTTCTCTGGACTGAGCAGGAAGTGTCGTGTCACGTTGAACTGTTAGAGCGATCAGTGAGCAAAGCCTGGAGCTGCTGAGTCATGGTTGCTCGTCTCTAAAGGCGATGAATGATTGTGCTGACTCAGCTCCTGACACCACAGGTGTGCAGCGCTCGCTCAACCTGTCAGTTAAACTCTGTGTGTGAGTGACGACTAAATACATTCTTCTGTGCACCTTCCTCACTCCTCTTCCTCCTGGTTTTCAGGACCCAGCTGGGATCTTTGAGCTGGTGGAACTGGTTGGAAACGGCACCTATGGGCAGGTCTACAAGGTAAGACCACCTTAATGTTGTTAGAGACGTAAACAAAACAACAYGAGTTTCATTAAAAAGATATAAACTCCACTGCTTATAACTTTCTGATGTTTTAAATGACAGATCTGGTCACTTTATTCTGACTGTTTTTGCTGTATTCCAGTATAAAAGAACAAATCTTGATTTAAAGGTTGTTCAGAGCTCAGCTGTGTTTCCTKTATTATGACCTCATATCAGACAGTTTAAAGCACATTTAAAGGTTACTACTGAGTCTTTGTGAGGACGCCCACACCGGCTGTGAGAGCGCACAACCTGTGTGTGTTGGTTTGAATTAACACGCCGTCACGTCTGCATCTCCGCTCTGTCTGCTGGATGTTCTGTATCGACCCGTCGCTCCGACAGGCTGACACCTCCTCTGCAGAAAAATGACAGATGGAGCTGAGAGGAGCTGAGAGGAGCTGAGAGGAGGAGTCAAGACAAAACATAAAGACGTTACAAGATTTTACAGATACAACACTGGCACACACTGACACAACTGGCCCGGTGATGGTGCTGGCCCACACAGGGACCACCTCTGGACCACTAAAGAACCATCATTCTTTGTGGCATCTGGGCCGAGTCCAGTGTGTGGGCCAGACCTGGGCCAGACCAACACCTCTGGCATCTACTCTCTCACCTTCACTCGTCTAGTAGGCGGAGCTTGTTCGTCCTCTGTCCTTCAGTCGTCTAGTAGGCGGAGCTTGTCCCTCCTCTGTCCTTCAGTCGTCTAGTAGGCGGAGCTTGTCCCTCCTCTGTCCTTCAGTCGTCTAGTAGGCGGAGCTTGTTCGTCCTCTGTCTTTCACTCGTCTAGTAGGCGGAGCTTGTCCCTCCTCT